CAATAACGGAAGTTGTGGGAAAATTAAATAAAATCAATAAATAGAATTTGGAGTATTCATAAATTATTTGGTCAATAACAAACGCTGTGTGAAAATGAAACAAAATCGATAAATATAATTTGTAGTATTTATAAATTCTTTGTTCAATAGCAGACGCTGTGGAAAATGAAATAAATTCGATAAATATAATTTGGAATATTTATAATTAATTGGTCAATGACAGACGTTGTGGGAAAATGAAATAAAATCGATGAATAGAATTTGGAGCATTTATAAATTCTTGGGTCAATAACAGAGGCCGTGGGTAAATGAAATAAAAGCGATAAACAAAACACTAATAACGAAAAAGAAAAGAAAAACAGATACATTTTTTATTTGATAAAAAAACTATGAAAAATAGTTGCAACAAACGATTGTGGTAACAGTAGGAGTTACCTCCTCCTTAATTTCCTAATTTTTGAAACCGCTACTTGGGGATGCTCTTTGTAAATGTTATTTTCCTTAAACGTTGGGTTACCAATATAAATGGTGTTTTGTTGAAAAGATTAATGTGGCTGCGTGTTGAAGAGCATTTAACATTTATACATTTTTTAAATCAAGGAAAAACAATAGAAAACCGATTTGTGTTTCAACGATAAAATATATATTAAAATCAACAAATACAAAAAAAACAATTTTTGTAATGTGTGAATAATAAGGAGAAAAAAGTAGTTTCCCTTTAACTGTTAGTTGAATAAGGAAATGTAATTAAGCAAGTTTTCAGAATAGAATGTTCAAAGTTCTGGATTGAAATAAAATGTGTATTCAGAAGAACATACAGTAAGTTCAATTGTGTATTTTGTATAGCTAACAGAGTTGTTGCAACTTGGCTTGTTCACAAAGAACTGATGGTGAATGATATTCAAGTTCTGTGTCTGTGTGTGTGCGTGCGGAGTGAGTAGAATGAATAATCTGTGTAGACGCGTGTGAGTAGTTGAGTTCTACTGTCTTCAACTCTACTGTTTAATTTGGGAATGAATCCGGACTTACATTATTACCGGTAAGCTCCCAGCACGAACGGGGGATAAATTTTGAAAGAACACGAAAAATATCTGATTGGATGAAAAATTAACCAATCGGTGATTTTATAACAAAAGCATGTTTGTGAATTAACGGTAGGAAAAATTCAGTGTGGTGAATGCGATAAGTAAATTGTCCTGTGATGTTTAGTATTTATTATTTGACCAATCACAGTTGAGAAAAATGTAGACGTGGCAAACGTAGTAGTAATCACTACAATCTCAATTGACTATACTTGGCGAGACCTCGTCTCGTTCTCTTTTCTTCTTTCAGCTGATACGACACGGTGTAAATCTCTGTTCTCTAGTGAAGATTTGTGTCTTCTTCTTTGTGAGGTGGGGGCGCTATGTGTTTCTTCGAGAAACACACATGCACATTACACACACACACACACACACACACACACACACACACACACACACACACACACACACACACACACACACGTACGAACATTAACTTACACATACTTTGACCACAAACTTTCTACGTTCATTTATACCCACTAATTATCATCTTTGCCAATTGTAACCCTTATTTTATGCCAATACACATATACTTGTTTGTACATAATCGGTCTTTGTAGTTTTCTTCACATTTTTTCTTTTATATTTCTGTTGGTGGGCTCATACTCCGGGAGAGTCCACTATGTTTGCAGTGGGCTATTTCAAGAGACGCGTGTGTTTGTCTCAAGCGTACAAACGGCTCGCTACAGTAACATTCAATTTATAAGGGCACACAACAAAGACAGCTGACACGAGCTGAGTTTAAAAAATAGACGATAAATTTATTGGTAATGTGGAATCTTCCACAACAAGCCAGTTAACCCCTGCTAGGAAATGCACTATTCCTGTTGTAATTTTCACCATCACAATCTTACAAAATATATAACAAGCATCCATTGGTTAATCACCTTCAATCTAGCTTGCTGATTGGTCAGTTCCGACCAATCAAACCGCCTGCACGCGACAAATCTGTTTTCCCGCTCAATATGCTCGGAGCCTCCTACGTGATACACGACCATATATAAGCAAAACACGTGTAAACTCCCTCGTGTTTCTTTTCATTCATCTCTCTCGCGTCTCATTTGCCAAGATGTAATCTTCAAGAACTCCCGTCTTGACTAATGCAGTCAGACGATAAAGACCATTACCAACATTCACGCAAGTACGAACTCTGAAATCTTTTCTGAACTTTTACCAACTTGTACAATACACAATTCCAAACATGCTAAAGAAACTTTATTCTTCTAAACTACAGTTTAATAATTACTTTCACTTTATGAACTTAGGTACAAATATTACCTAATCTAAGAAACACAACCCTGTCTAACCTTTTCACTCAGTATTCATGCATATATATCAAACACTAATAAATTCAATTGTTACATTTTGAAACAATATGTTTATGAATCTTTATTCTCTATCTTGTATTAATTGTTGTGGATCGAAGATTATTGAACACACACAATTTTAAACCTTCTGATAATTCAAACCTTCTATTCCTTTCTAACACACATCACACATCCGCAACAGTAACACACAAAAATGAAAGAATTACACAAATTAAGTACTTTATGTGCCAAATGTTGGCTAATAACATGTATGTAAAAATAATCAATACAAATGAGATAATCTTCTTTTACAATAAGTATTACAATGCTATATAAGGTCCTCAGAAAAGGTAAACAGTATAAAAATAAATGAAGAAAGGGGAAAATACTTCTTTGAACAGTTTTCAAAGAATAGGTACAATTTTCAAAGCAATGTTCGTGGTAGCAGCGACAAACAGAACAATCACACCAGTCGAAGAATTTTCCTTGATGTGGGAGCGACTTTGATATTCCTCAGAATACTACTCCGTATACTACGGAACGTTCACCATTGGACTTGACCATAAACCTCGCGACGCCAGCACCGGGCATTTAAATTTTGTTCTCTTTGACTATGTAGGGGTGGTGGTGGGGGTAAAGACGGTTTTACCAATCTGTAAAGTGTTGATGGAAATACGATTAACCCGCTACTTTTTTTAAAAATTTCACAAACGTAACAAAAAGCAAGCAAACAATAAGAGAAATAACGATATGAAACAATACTTTGGTTCAACAATAAATATTCTTTTTTATATAACCAATAAAAGGTATATAATTGTAGGTTGGGAGTTGTTTAAATTGCTTCAAAGTTTTATTTTTCTTGTGTGGATTGAAGTGTTTATGAAGATATTATATGAAAGATTAAGAGTTGAGAAATTGTGTGTATAAAAATGGGTAAGTTTGATAAGGTATTTTTGAGTTTGTACGAAAATTAAACTTCGTTTTCGGTGTTGAATTTTGTAATATTGTACTCGACTTACTGTTCTGTGTATGAAGTTGTCTCTCTTTGATTGAATGTGTTACTTGATGTTTTCTGTTGAATTTATGTAGTTGAGTGAGTGTACTTAGCAAGCTGTGGAAATGTTAACTGATTTTAACTTTAAGTCTGGTAAAATATGTGACATGGATCAGTGTGTCGAGCTGAGAAAATTCGTAAGATTCACTATTGAAGTCGAATGATGTTTCGTATTTATTGATGCTTCAAGTCACGTGGGAAACTCCAAGAAATTTGGCGCAAATTTGGATCTGCTTAGCATACACACTAAACCGATATGATGTGTACTTAGTTGAGAACATATGAAATTATGATTTCTTGTTTATTAGTCAATCAGAAGGCGTTTTTAGTTTCTTCTCGTCTGGAGCCGATTTCAATGGGTTGTTGGGGTACTTGGATTGATAAGTTTCGCTCTGAGCCATTTTTAATGGGTTTTTAAACAAATGTAGAAATTTGATCCTTCTGTTGGGGACGTGCAGAATTTGATAATTATGTTAGAAAGAATCAGAAGGAATTTGAGTGACTTTCTGCATCCCAAACAAATAAACAAAATGAAATTCAAAATGCAATTGAAAAACGAGACGAGACATATTCAATTAGAAATCAATACAAAAGTTATATACAAATCAAACAATATACAGTCAGGATAATTGATGCATGTTGTGTAGGCGAAATGTGTATGCGGTTTCTTCAGATTTCAGAATGTCTCTCTTCGTAATTGTTCATTCATTTGGAGTATTTTTTGTTTGTGTCGATATTTGCGATTGTTGATATTAAGTGTCTTATAGAAAGAGTTTTTTAAAGAGTGATCTACCTTTAACTGTAATATTTTTCTAAGATCGTTCGTTCGTAGAGTTTACTTAATAAGTAGTGAATATGATTCACTTTAGATAAGCAAAGTTGAGAAATGATGTACACAGAGTTGATTGAATCTTGATCGAGTATGAGTCAGCGATCTATCTTTTTGCTCGGCAAAATTGTGATTCGTAGTGACGTGGAGTATTTTGGAAGGTTCTCTGTGAATACGTGTTTCTGACTGCATGAAGTTGGTAATTGTCTTTAACGTCTGGTCAGCAATGACTAAGACGGGAGTCGGTGAATGTTACATCTTGAAACTTGGTAATTACTGCTCCGAAAGGTTCACGCGTTTTCTGTTTATATAATCACTGGGTGGCTCTCAGCATAAGAGCGGGAAACAGTTTGGTCGCGTGCAGGCGGTTTGATTGGTCGGAACTGACCAATCAGCAAGCCAGATTGGAGGTGATTGACCAATGAATACTTGTTATATTGTCTGAAGGTAGAATTTGGCTTACTAGATAGGTAGAGTGTATTTCCTACAAAGAGGTAAGGCTGGTGTCGGAGTTACAAGTGGTGACCCCGACGTGATCTGACTAGGCTGAACAATATGGCGACACAATTCAAACGAGGCATATTCAACGCTTAGCAACCAGCAGACCTGCAACACCATTTTCTACGAACTAACACTCTCTTCTGGACTGAAATAGATAAAGTGTGAACCAAACCACTAAAGGCGACCCACTGTCCTTTACTCTCAACAACATTGGTGATTCCGACATGGAAGCGACACACAGGTTTCATTGGAGTGAATCTACAACTTTCTCTGGACGACTCACTGTTCCATTGCGATGCGACATCACTGAGGATTTGCATGAACGTAATTCGTCGCTACTAACATTGCAAATTCCGCTCTAGCATTTCGCATCTTCTTCCATCCTGAAACACAAAAAGCGCGCGCATACATTTTCCTACACCACGTGGCGACATCTTCACGCCACCGCTTGCTTCCCATGCTTCAAACTTTTTTTTCGGACGACTCACTGTTTCGAAAAACATTTTCAACGGTTGCACCCTGACGACAACACAAGCACATTTCGTCGAATCACGCATCTCAACCACACTTCTGACACATTTTCTTTTCAGTTCACAAGAAGAATAATCAAAACCTTTCATGAACCTTTTTTCTTACATATTAAAAGTTCACATTTCATTACAACTTTTAAACTGGTGAGAGGTATTGTCGGAGTTACCTCCTCCTTCTACCCTTGAACCGGCAGAGGAACAGGTCATTTCGACCCTGACCTCTCATTCATGCTCCCTACACACTGTTAACCTGTGGTAGAGACTATCAAGTTCCCTTTTTTAGTTAAGTTATATTACAAACCTAGTTGTAATATACTGCTAGTCATTTTTAGGCTATAGTTATCTTTAGCTAACCTCGTAGTATTTTATTATAGAGACTTTACGGTTAGCTGATCCAATTTCTCTTGCTGGACTCCTTTGTCACAAGACAGTGACTTCTCGCTAGATCCAAGGGCTGTGTATTAAGTTACGCTCCCAATTTTTTTGTCTGCCAACTTGACGATAGTTGGGAACTTTCTTTCTCTCTCTCTCCTTCCCAACACGTCAAGTTGGCATCCCGGCAACGACAAACAACCAACACTTGGCATCCCGGCAACGACCAGCTTCAACAACAGCAATCATCCCGGCAGCAATCAACTTCGACAATCAACAGCGATGATCCTGCCAGCAACCAACAACAACAGCGATCATCCCGGCAACAATCGACTTCGACAATCAACAACCACCAAGCGATCATCCTGGCAACTACCAACACCAACCTCGACCATTAATGCCTGCACCAGAACTTCTGCACCTCTACCGTTTCCGACCATCTTTATTTCCTTTTTCTTTCCCTGAATAAATTAGCATATATCACATATCCTCGTTCTGTCGTCCATGTTGTTTCACTGTCAGATTTAACGTCTTCAAAAATGTCAGCAGGCCTCTTGTGACCCCGTTCACCCTTGTGTGATACGGGGCCGCTCGGGGGGCCCGCTACACTGGTTGTGTTGTGGGAGATTCTACACTACAGCTACATCGTCCAGACTTCAAATAACCTACTCCGTACACTTCAGTTGAAATACTACGAAAGGTTCATCATTGGATTTTTAACCAGCAACTTTTTAACACCGGACATGTGAACTTAAACTTCTAACTGTGGACTTACATGCTAATTTAACCTACAATGACTCTGGTCTGTATTTTAAATAAATTTTGTATCAATTTTAAATATCCTAGTTCTGTTGTCCATTTTTGTTTCATCTGCCAGATTTCACGTCTTTAATTTATAGCGTGCCTGCTGTGACTATCTTTATTTGGGCGCACAGGCCATTTTATATTGCGTCCTCTCCAGGGGCATCGACTACACGTCCGTAGCAGAAACTCAAGTTTTGTAAGCACACAAACACTGAACCTGTTAACAATCACAAAGTATACATTGTAGATGAGTCTGTGATACCTTCTGATTGAACAAAATAATAGACCTTAGTAAAATTGCCTGCTCACCACTACGTTCGCGCAACTGTTAGTTCTCGACCAATCAACTGTTCTATTTTTAGAAATGATGAAAAAAAGGGTCATGAATCAGGATCAGATCTGAATTTTATTTAGGATGTAACTGTAACAAGATCAGGTGTGTAGCGGTTGCTATGTTTTTCATCGCCCACACTTTATCCGCCTGCGGTTGGCTAATAAATCATTACTACTTTTATATAGGACAATTTAGCCATCGCAGTCGTTTCTTTGAATCCTTCGGTTTTGAGCTTGCTTGCTTGTTCTGTTAGTACGAATATAGTGATTGGTTAATTTTTAACTAATCACATATTTTAGTTCAAGATTAAGTTTTCCCGCGTTGCTGTGGGAGCTTGCCCTTTTTCCATAAAAGAGCCGATTTTTTCACAAGACGTTAGTAAGATCCAGTAAAATTCACCTGCACATACAAGTCCACGATCTTGCTCATAACATTTCAAACGCACACACAGACACAGAATTTCGTAATATAAACTTATTTTTCTCTGTGTGACTTAGCCAAGCTCAATCAACCAGGACTCTGTTGATTTCGAACCATTCTATAACACAACACATTTTTGATTAATTGTATTCTTGTGTTATCTGTTCTAACAAACAGACCTTTGTTCTAATATTGATTCCTGAACATTTTTCTCTCAAAAAGAACTTTCTTCGAACAATCAATTACAAATCAAAATACAATTAAAGGGGAACAACTTCTTTCCCTTAATACAATTTTATTGCATGTTTGTTGTTGTATGTTATTTCAATTACTTGTTGATTCACTGTTTGGAGTTTTTGTTGTTTTTACTTGAATCCCGTACGTTCAAAAGTATAATAATATAAATAGTATTAGTCTATCTACAAACCCCAACGTTCCAAAAATAAATGTCTCAACCAATAGGCCCTTACAGGTGTAAGGTTTTAAGTGACAAAGTTTTTTTTTTCTTTTTAAGTACAAATGTAAAATTGCTTATATGTTCTTGTCATTTTTTGACGTGCAATGCAATGTTTCTATGTTTTTTTATCATGATTAGAAAAACATTGCATTTAAGACATTTGAAAACTCACTATTAGTTTTTTTTATTTGTTTCTATGTTTTCACCTTTCTTATTTATAATCCCAATATTTCGGCTTGTTCGCTCAATAATATCTTTTACTGCACCTAAATAAATAAGTAAATATCTCTGAATTCATGCATGAAGTAAATTCCATTTTGTAAGAAGAGTTATTTCCCTTATTTGTAAATGTCTCTTCACAGTCGGCGGCTGACATGGAGAAATTATTTAAACATTAGAATATTTTAAAAAGTACTAATTAATAATCGATAAGAAGTCAGTGAATAGTATCTTCGTATTATTTCCTTGTGATATTCACTATGGAATTTCTTGAAAATGATATACGAAATGTAATGTATCTTTTTTAAAATAAGGAACAGCATTTAGTTGAACACCGTAAAAGTTAACGCGGTCATTTTGAAATGGTAACGGGTAACCTGTTTGATTTCGACAGAAAAATGCTTAATATTTTTTTTTATATACTCGTGAGCTATTAACAACGAACTTAGGATTTATAGATCAGGTAATTATTAATTTCCCCATGTTAATTTATCTGTTTCTGTTTAATTTTATTGTTTTTGTGTCGACATCTGTGCTTGAGTAATTGTTCTACACAGGTTGTTGAACTTTTTGTCTCGGGCTAAAAATTTGTCTTGTTTTGGAAGTTGTTCTTATGCTGGATATGAAAGAAACATTGGCATATGAGAAGATTTAAGACTTAAGAAGAAGATGATATATAAGTAATTCCCTTTTAATATCGGAAGTAGGTTGTTATTCAGTGATCTCTTCCCTCAGTTTCCGCACGCTTGTATCAAGTTTGAAATCTCCCAGCATACGATAAACTTTTTTGTCGGAAAAGCGGGGGCAAAAAGATGCTTTGGCTGGCCAAGATATAAATCTAAGTAGGTACAAAGACATACAAGTATACCAGAATGCAATAGCTGGTCGGTCAACTGTTTTATTCTGATACACATGTATGTCTACTAACTGGTGTTTCTACTTATATTTATATCTTGGTCAGCTCATAAACTTTCCACCTAACACTCATATATATCTATGCAAAAACCATATATTTTTATTTAAAAAAAATTTTTTTTTTTTTTTTTTTTTTCAGCAATCTTGAAACATTTGATAAATGGTGGCAAGATATAAAAAAAAATAAAAGAAATAACTCCCACTCCCAAGCCAATTCTATTTTTATTTGACAGTATGTCTGAGAATGCTGATCATGTTGCCGGTTGCGAGAGTACACAAAAACCAGAATTTTTGCCACCTGATCTCTGTGGCCTCGATCCTTTGTTTCATGTCTTTAATAGAATGTACATTAAAGATATTCTCAGCATGCCTGAATACCCAACCCTTCCAGGTGAGTTATTTCTTAATTTTATTTATTTTAATCATTTCATCCCAAGTAAGGTGATAAAGCCAGTAAGATACAAGGGCTTACTGACAGTGAAGGAAACAGAGAGGAAAATAAAAGAACAGTAATCCAGGAGACAGATGATGACGATTAATGTTGAATATAAACTTTTGAAGATCATAGTGGACAGGGAATTTGTTCACCACATGAGGCAGGTAATTGCAAATAAAAATTATTTGATAGACTAAAAAATTTTTTGTGAATAGTTGGAATGTGTTAATATTTATTTATTAATATTATTTACATTGTTTGGACTGTTGTTCTCAACTGAACCCTTTATTTTGTCCACCAAGGTAGATTGTTCTAGTTCTATGTGCCATGCCTCTTCCGGCTGTCTCAGTTATCTCCCTTTAACTCAACTTTCCAAGTTTTTGTTCACCACTGCAGTGGCCAAAATAAAGGGTTCAGTTCGAAATTCCAATCACCAGAAGAAGGCCAGAGCATACAACGGCCGAAACAGTGTGACTATAGCGATAAAGTTGAGGACAACAGTCCGAACAATATTAATAATTACAATACCTTATTTTGGGAATTAAGACAAAGTTACTCTGAGCAAAAAAGTTTAATAAAAGCTTGTACATGTAAAATTAAGGTGATTTAATTGAAATGTTTAAAGTTGTGAAAAACTGACTAACAACTATAAATAATAACAAAACTTAGAAAATATAACATTTAAAAGTTGTTTTTGTGAAGGTTCCAGGATTATGATGAAAAAAGTAATACTGGTACTCTGGTTGTCACAGCTATTTTAAAGGCTTGTTTTTGTCCTATAGGAAAATCCAAGATGGCGCTTGAACGAAATATTCGGCAAAAAACCCCCATTCGTCAGTAACATTTTAAACCCCTCATAGAATGTAAAGTTCTCAGAGCAAACCTGTGCCAAATTGTTTTCCTGAATCCTTGATGACTTGGCTGTCTGAAAATGACATCAGGATGAAATAATGGAAGCTGACCATGGAAAACACAATTATGTGCAACAAGTTTTCAATCAATCAGTTAGCTTCTAGACGTTTTCAGGCCATGCTATAGGATCCAGACAGCTATTGTTTGCACATGGAATTATTCACTGGTAATTAATCTTTGATTTGGCTGTGAAAAATGTCACTCAGGGATTAGCATTAAAAAATTATAGTCAATTTTCTGAGAAAAATCACTTCTTTTTTTATGGAAAAATATCTTTTTTCACTTCAAAACAATTTTGTTCAAACTTCAATCTGTTCTTTTTAAGTTGGTATGAACGTCATTGAATAAAATGAAACACTATATGCCCCAATGATGGGAAATATGAAAGACATGCGGCAAAAAAAACCAATGTCATCTGCTAAGTGTTGTTGTCATCACCCGGGTCACGAGGTGTTAAAAAACAAAACAAAACACATCAAGCCATTGTTTGTTCAAACATAGGTTTGAAAAAAAAAAAACAACACCTACACATTTTTCTTCAAATAAACAACAGAAGTAAACAAGATTGTTATAACTTAGTGTGCACAACAAAGTTCAAGGTCAATCTATGCCAAATGTCTTCACTTTGCACACTTTTAAGCTCTGTTGTCATGGTAACAATTCTAATGCTTTTTGATCAGAACTCAAATATTAAGTCCTAGAGCCCTCCCCCTGTGAACAGAATTACCGGCTTTTAGGTCTAAATGTTACTTTGATTATATACATATAATTGTCTTTGGACTTCCCACTTTTTTTTCACTTTAACTTGTATATTTAATCATTGTGCACACCAGGGGTCAGCAACCTTTTGCTGACTATGTGCCGACTTAGAGTTTTAAAATCATTCAGTGTGCCAACAGCATGCATATTTTTATACAAGTCAAGGTCAATATAACTGTTCTACAATACATTTTATATAGTAATGTATACAATAAGATAAGAAATTTCTGCCATAAGTATTTTTAGAAGAAGCAAATGTCTGGTTTCTAGTTAGGGAATCCGATTGATAAGGAAAATCATGGAGTTATGATTATTGGCTCAGATTGAGGAATCGGAGAGATGAGTTCGAATTCCAGTCAATTTCATTACATTCACTTACCTGCTAATACCCTTGAGAAAGCTATGGCTAAAATAGCAGAACAGATTGGGTCCTATAGCCTTGGGTGGCAACCAGTCTAGGAAAGGGAAACTCTGAATTCCAGTCGGATCGCACTATCCTAAAAGTGTGTATACATGTGGTTGGGGACATGTAGTGAATCCAAATTTCCATTGAAACTGAATTTGCATGTCTGAATGTATTCAACTTCTGTTACACTTGGTCGGCTTTCATTCGGCTGTGATGGGTTCTTTTGACGGATGAATGCTGCAACAAGTACAAATAAGTAGAATCAGATTCGTAGAACCATTACTTGCTTTAGTTATGGAATCAGCAGACTGGAAACTGAATGCATTATCTTGCACTTTACAGTAAATAAAGCATAAGATTTTGTAAATTTTACTGACTGAACTGAATTTACTTTAAGAAATCTTGTGCACTTCTTGGTGTTAAGAAAGAAAGCTAAAAATAATTGATTGTGTAATTCTTTATGTAATTTATTTTTTAACATTAATTTAGGATACTATGTTATTCCATTGATCAGCATTTCTCAAATGTTTTACCCTTGTATAGCTGGCCACTCGTATTTGAGGATACCCATCTACCAGGGCGGTTAACCAATCCCTATTGCAGATGCTTGCTCAGGCGCATTTGTGTTTATTCAACACAGATCCCAACTGTGGTTTATACTGCAACTATGCTGAGCAGACCTTAGTTACAGTTTCTGTGAAAGAGAGTGTTATCTAGTGTGATCAACACTTTGAACAAGGCCAGCATGCTCAAGCCCTCAACCACGATGACTTGTGGCTTTGTGCTAGCTCAGCTATCAACAGCCCCTAAGGGTTCCATCTACCCAATTTCACTCACAAGGCTTGGATCAACCTGCAGTATGGTTTTCAGGCACTTTCCAAAGGTGCCGCATGCTGAGATTGTCCCTCAAGTCTGATAACATCAGGAAGTCTCCTTCCGGACAAATCAACCATGATGAGATTCGAACCCGGGTCAGAATGTGAAAGCACCTGTTAGGCTCCCAGCTATGGGTAAATAGTGAACCCTCAAAGAAAAAAAAGTATGAAAGTATAAAAATACCAGTAAATACATTTTTACACTATTTACATTATTCAAACTATTTTCCTCATCTTTGTCACCATATTTATTACAATGCTTCGGCTGTTGTTGTATGCTCCAGCCTTCTTCAGGTGTTTGGAATGTTGAACTGAACCCTTTATTTCGCTCACTGGGGTAGACTGTTCTAGTTCCACGTGCCATGTTTAATGGATGTCAGTTATTAGTTATCTTCTGTTAATTTCCCTCTCCAAGTTCTCCACTGCTTTAACGGGTATTGAACTCATACTTTTTGGGTCTTGTCACTGGATCTAACCAATACCTTGAGGACACATGGCACAGTGGATAAAGGCGTTGGTTAGATCCAGTGACAAGACCCAAAAAGTGTGAGTTCAATACCCAGTTAAGGCAGTGGAGAACTTGGAGAGGGGAATTAACAGGAGATAACTGATAACTGACATCCATTAAACATGGCACGTGGAACTAGAACAGTCTACCCCAGTGAGCGAAATAAAGGGTTCAGTTTGATATTTCAACCACCTGAAGAAGGTTGAAGTATACAATGGCTGAAACATTGTGATAAATATGGTGACAAAGATGAAGACAATAGTCTGAATAATGTAAATAGTGCAGATAATATCTCATCTCAGAAATATAGACAGATACTGAAGGGCCGAAATGTTGTAATAGATATGGCAACAAAGATGAGGACAATAGTCCAAATAATGTAAATAGTGTACATAATACCTCATCTCAGAAATATAGACATACATTTTTATATAAAAAAAATTACCAACAATACATATTTATAGTAAAATTACAAGTGATATATTTTTAATCCAAGATGACCAGCAATATATTTTTATCAGTAGTTGAAGGCTTATGACATGCAGGGTCAATCCTTGTCCAAGGCAACTAATTATGACCCTCCATGCTGGTTGATTCTGGATCAGTTCCTACACTGGTTGATACTGCCGCTGGTCATTGAAGTTGGCCATTCTAGTCTGCACCCTGCTTCACCCCACATTGTTCTTTTTGATCACGAAGCTGGCAAAGGCTGAGTTGTCGTCAGCAATTGTAGCATTGATTTGAATAATGGCAAAGTTATATCACAAAAGAAAAGAAAAAATTCTTTGCAAACAAAATGAAGAAAAGACAGGAATTTCTACATATTACATGTCTATTTTCTATTTGATCTGTATTGTTCCTTGTACAGAAATATTAATTCTATCATGACACTTTGCTCAATTTAGCTAAGTCTGGAACAAGGCTTAAGTTGGGAGTTCTTTTTGGCAGCAAGTCACATGGGATTTAGCAGATCCTCCTGCTGTCTGGTTTCATCTGTGTCTCTGGCTGGCAACTCTGGAACTACTTCAGTGTTCTGCTTATACCCAAGACTGGTATGAGGCTGACGTGTTTAGGGGTCCTGGTGTTTCCTCCTGTCTTCCAAAAAAGTTCCTTGTTTGGCTTTGGAAAATTAATTATCTCTTGAAATTTGAAGATTGCTACTTCCTATGGGTAGTGGTTGCTGGTATTGACCCACCTGTATAACTCATACCTTCTCTTATTTACGCCTTGCACTATTACTTCCCAATGGGCGTAAGCAGTTGTTTTGTCCTTCTTGGTATCTCATCTACATTTTCACCTCAGTTGTCATTTAGACAAATTTTATTTTTAAACCCTGTGGGTGAAATGGCATGGCTTCACTTTTTAGTTATTAATTAGAATTATCACTTTAATTTTTTGTCGCTCTGGTCTTGTTCATATAATCAGAGATTTACCAGCAGTTTCTTCTGGCAGCTATCTTCATGTCTTGTTTACTCAATCACACTTATAAACCCTGGGTTGGGTCTTTACATAAAGAAATTCTATTTCTTGATTTGTTTACAATTTTCACTTTTTGATAGGTGGAATAAATTAGTATCTGTCTATATTTCTGAGATGAGGTATTATGTACACTATTTACATTATTCAGACTATTGTCCTCATCTTTTTTCCATGTTTATCACGTTTCGGCCGTTGTACACTTCGGCCTTCTTCAGGCAAAAGTTATAAGTGGCGACCCAGAGACATTAGATAAAGAATTGGTCAGTATAAGCAATACCCTACGATGTAACAACTACCCTGAGTACATGGCAGCAGCCCCGATAAACTGGGATAGATGGGTACACGAGGAGGACAACAACACTCAGAAAACAGTCTGCCTGCCTTATGTGAAGGGGTTATCAGAGAAAATACAAAGAATCTGTAATCCATACATCAGGACAACCTTCAAAAGCTGGACGACACTTTCCAGATACCTCCTGAGTAAGAAGAACCCCCCTCATAGAGGAGAACATGACTAAAGACTGTGTGTTTGCCATCCCATGCAGCTGCAGAAAGAAAAATAAAGGGGAGACAGGCCGCCCCCTTAAGGTAAGTCTTCAAGAACACCAAAAAGCTGTAACGCGAGGGGAAGTGGAAAAATCAGGCATGGCTGACCACATATGGGGAGAAAAGAGCAATCACCACCGTCTGTGGGATCGGGTTGAAATCATAGACAACACCATTGGAAAATTCGTAAACTTAAGGAACACATGGCACAGTGGATAAAAACATGCAATCATAACAGCAAAAATTGCAACATGAGCACTGGTAAAAAAAATGATTGTTGAAGACATTAGGTTTATAAAATCCAGAAATTCATACATAGATATTCTTGTGGACACATGGCACAGTGGATAAAGGCATTGGTTAGATCCAGTGACAGGACCCAAAGAGTGTGAGTTCAATACCTGATTAAGGCAGTGGAGGACTTGGAGAGAGGAATTAACAGGAGATAACTGATAACTGACATCCATTAGACATGGCATGTGGAACTAGAACAGTCTATCTCAGTGAGTGAAATAAAGGGTTCAGTTTGATATTCCAACCACCTGCAGAGTGATAAATATGGCAACAAAGATGAGGATAATAATCCGAATAATGTAAATAGTGGAATAAGTCAGTTTCTCAATTCTGCCTTATCTTTAAAAGTTACCAAATATTATCTTCTCAATCTTCTTTCATTTATGGCTGGTCCCTAGGAGATGTTTTCATAATTTCCATTTTAAGGCAGCACCATCAATTAGTTGTCAGTCCAGCTTTTTTGGATGGCCTCTTTGGTAAATATCTTTCACCAAAACAACAAAGTCACTTTCTTCAAACCGTCTCTGCTTAAAAAATAGACTTTCAAAATTAAAAGCAATTTTGCAGTTGTCTCAGTTCATGTATCATTTCATTCTTTAACCCTTTTTGTCTTGTTCCAAGTTATATTTTAATTTTAACCCTTTCTTTCTGTTTGCCAGTGTCGCATAGTGTCACAGCATACAATTGCATTGAAAGTACATTTAGTTAAAGGTATATAATTGCATTCAAAATAGATTTCGATCTCAGCATTAAATAACCCATAGACGTGTTGATATGTTACTAAACAAAATCGATCAATCAACCAACCAACCCTTGAAATAGTTTTCATGTCTCAGAAAATCCCTGCATAAAAATATATACCATTATTAATATCTCTCTTTTTTTTATATTTCATTATAATAACCAAATATTTTCTAACTATATACCATATGTGTATAGTAAAATTATGAATATAAAATTACAAAAAAATTCATTAACTTATCACTGTTTTTTGTGGAATGCCTAACAACCTCTTACGGAACCCTAGGGTTCCTGGGAACACCGGCTGAAATACACTGTCATAGACTATTCAAACTCAGTAAAAAGATAATGCTGAAAACAACAAAGATGAGGATATTACCTCAAATAATTAACAAAGTAATAATCAGCTTCTAGGAAGGCTGAAGTGTGCATCAAAAGTTCCACTTGGGCAGCTTCTTCTCACAAACCACTGCCTTGTGGAACTGACTCCTAAGAGGTTGCTTTCCTGATTACAATCTTTAACTGATCAAGTCTGGTCATTAACCATAATCTTCCACAAATTTGCATAAGGTGTGCCTCTAACTCTGTCTCCCTCTACCTTGAGTCTCCCTCAAGCCTTGTATAGTGTGAACATTGGGAACAAAAACATAGAAATGTTATGTTAAAAACAACTGAGATAAGGATAGCGGTTTCAGTCATAGTACTTTAATTTGAAACTTTAGACAATACTATTTGTTAACATAAATTTCCTGAGAATATACAGTTTTGTGCAGTCTTGTTCAAATTAAATGTATTCTGTTTTTCTTTTGTGACAGTAGAAAACTTTTATTACAGCATTATGTTCTGGTTTTGATGAGAGGACGCTTAGAGCTATTCATAAAGAACCTGTCGTTCAAATCATTTTCTTTACTTTTTCTCTAAGGAGCTTTTGCTTACAAGAATCACCCAATATTCAAAGTGGACATTCTTGGTGTTGTGGTCAAAGTGGATAAGAAAGAGAAGCTGGATCAATATGGAGGTAAAGTAAAATTATATTCTCTTGTTTGTCTTAGTATATAATTAAAACTGTCTATATTTCTGAGATGAGGTATTTTAACTATTTACATTATTTACATTGTTTGGACTGCTGTCCTCATCTTTATTGTCACATTGACAGCATTTCGACCGTTGTATATTCTGGCCTTCTTCAGGAGATATATGTTGGAATTTCAAACTGAACTCTTTATTTAGTTAAAATAAAAGTTGTTTGTTTTGAAATTCCAACAAATATCACCTGAAGAGAGCCGGATCTTACAACGGTCGAAAATGTTGTGACTATGACAGTATAAACAAGGACAACAATTACAAGTGTAAATAAAACTAGTGTCTTTATATTTTGTATCACAATGTATGTTGCTCTTGTACACCAAATACAGCTGTCCTTCAGTTTCCTATTCCAACCTGGTTGGCAGTTAGGTCTCATAATTTCACTGTTGCTAGTTATAACCATAAGTTCTGTGTCAACAGTTTCTTTTCTCGTATTTCTCAGTTATAGAAATCTTTTCCTGCTTCCCTGTAAACTATGATCTTCAAAAATTTAAATGTAATGTCAACCATCATCTTCTTTCTCTTTGAATTTGGCTCTTCTTATTGTCCAAGCTGTTTCTTTTCTTCTAAGTAACCTAGGTTCATTAAATATGTTTATGCACAAATATCCTTGCGAAAGGTATGAATCCATCTCCTCCCCAACAATTATGGGATAAATAGTAGGGCTTGTTTCTGGACAATTCCTTTTTCTCAAAAAATTATTAATTCAATATTGTCACAAAAAAATTCTTCTTCCAATTTAAAATATATTTTGGCTTTAAATAAGCTACAAATGGTTGATAAACCATAAAAACAAATGACTCAATCAAAAACTTTGGTAATGAAAGGAGTAGTCCTCTTTTAAAGTTCTGAGATTATTGATTTGCATGATTACACACATTATTAATTCTAATCTATTCATTTTCTGTTGAGTTTTCACAAAATGGGAGTGCTATGCAAGAAATGGAATATTCCTAGTTTGCATTTCCCCCATTATGGGCATTATTATATCCATGATATAATAACACCTTAAACCTGGATGGAATGGAACAGCTGAAAGAAAAGAAAAAAAGACAAACATACTTTGTTTTCAGAGAGAGTTTTATACCGCTAAGTCATACACAAAATTATATACAAACATTTACACTTGTTCCACATAGAGAAACTATATCACATGTATTCAACAACAAGCTGTGTGAAAATGGCATAGAGATATAGGGTCTTACTTGTAATAAATTTTCATGGGAATTATAGCTGCCAGAAGAGTCTTCTACGTTTCTGGAGAAACCATATTTATATTTTTCAATGTAAATTTGAGTAGGCCTGTTTTATCTTCTATGTCTCTAGCAAGGACATATTTCCTGACAGAAAAACTGCGAAACATGGGTATTTCCCAACATGAAGACTGCTAGCTAGAGATAGTTTCTATATCTCTGGTGAGGACATATTTTTCCCAATGAGATTGTGATTTGTACCTTTGGCAGTTCACTCGGGCGAGGTAGATTTAACCTCAGCTCAGATGGGCAGATTTAGCTTTTGCCCATACTAAAAAAAGCAAACACTTAATTTGACTCTAGGAAACTAACTGATGACTGTCCATTTTTGTTGCTCTATGAACTGGCAGCACTAAGCGACTGTCATATGATTCACCTGATTTCATCTCAACCAAAGGGAGATAATTGCCTTTTGTATTTCTACATTCATATTCAACTTTAGCCAGTGATAAGATTCTTGTTTAAGATTCTGAGAAAACATTTTCATGGTTAATATATTTAATGACATAGCTTAAAAAAGTTTATCTCACTATAAATTGGTAAAATAAGTCAGTGTTAAATGTTGTCCAATGAAAGAAAAGTACATGATTAAATGAATTTAATTAGGTATATGATTAAATGTTTTTGATTATGAATTCATTTAAGAGAGGATATTTGAACATGTTGTTATAATTGTTGTAATGATTTGACAGCCAGCACTCAGCCAAAGCAGGTAGAACTGGGATGTGGGTGCATGATTGGTGTCAATGATAGCAGAAATAGACTTCAATTGGGATCTTACAGTTTGTGCAGCAATCAGATATTTTGATTGAAAAAAGTGATCTCATACTTTATTATTCCAATCTCTTGCTCAGCAAAATTATAAATAACATAAAAACTCAGCGACCAAAAACTAAAGGTGTATTCATTGTATCGTGACAGTCCTGCATCTAAAACTAGGATTGCTGGCATGTGATGAAGGGGCACCAGATATAGTGCAGCAGTGAATGTGTCCAATTCAAGATAGTCTGGTTTTGAATTCAGTTTTCCTTCCTCTAAACTGTTTGCCCTACCAAAGCTAAATGGCCCAGTCTACTCTACTATTTAATCCATTACTGAGGTAAGATGGTGTAAAAGTCTAAAATAGGGGTCAGATGCACATGCACAAAAATTATAGATTGTTTATATTTGGGATCAAAATGTTAAACTTTGCTGAATATAAAGGGTGTTTCATTAAGACGGATCAAAGTCAGCAGTAAATAAATCAATGTTATTGATGAAAATTTATTTATTTCTCTATTGGATCATGTTATTTAAGTCATGACAATTATGTATGAAAAATAATATTGCCCAAATGTCCGCAAAAGCTTCGGTGGTACACCTCTACTTGATGGTCAAAATTTTTGATGACATCTCTGTATAGTTGCTCCTCAATCTCACCAATATGCCTTTTCTCATCCTTCAGCTGTTGAATTGTTGTTGGCATATACTTTATATTTGAGATGACCTCAAAAGAAGAAATCTATTGTGTCGATCGTGGTAGCCAATTGACTTCTCTGTTTCGAGAGATGATGAAACCTGAGAACTTGTCATTTAAATTCTTTTGGAACATCCATTTTTGTAAGAAGCTTCGATAACTTTAACACATTGTTAATCTTTCCATGGTTGAAATTGCCAAAGACTTAAGTTGTTAAATCTGAAAGAAACTTAATTCACATTTAAAATCAGTCCAAGATATTGGAACACCCTTTATATTCACAAGTGCATTCCATTTTCTGAATGTTCCTTTATCTGTTAAAAAATCTTTTTTTAAATTCATCTGTTTCAATTCTTTTTTTTTTTTCTCTCTAGTTTGTAGGCACACATCTCCATGTATAGTCACCAGAAGATTTCTTTGATACTGTTGAAAACTAGATGTTCTGCATGATATGCTATCAATTTGTTTTCAAAAAAATCAAAACAATTTTCTTTGTTATTGATTAGTAATAAAAGTTCTTCAGTTTTCATTTTGTGCATGTGAATCTGGCTTCTCTTCTAGACTCTAACCGAAGATGGTTTTATACCAGAATTTGAACTTGGTGCACAGCTACTAATTTCTACACTGATAACTGTTACATTAAATAAAGTATATGAAAAAAATTGGAACAATTTACATTTAGTGTTATAAAGAATTTTACATACATATATATATATATATATATATATATATATATATAGTATTTAGGTAGCAATCCCTCTTTTATACATATTTCATTAAAGATGACGGACAAGGTACTACAATTAAGCTTTTAATTTAATTGTTCCTGTGTTGAAAATGTGTTTTCTTTTCTGGACACAGTGTGTGTAGAAATTGTTCAAATGTCCTGTAATTTTGAGCGCTTTTGGCTATAACTTAAGCCATTATCAAGGATTTTATTTTTACTTCTCAACTGGATGTATGGGTTGTGTGCATGTATATAGAGTTATAAGGATGTTTTATTTTCTGAACACAACACACTGTGTGTGTGTTGGCTTTCTCTTTTTTTTATTTTTTATTATTGCTTCCATTATTTTTAATTTTTTTTTTTTTTTTTTTTTACATGTGGATGAGGTTATTATGCTTGTATTTTCTATTGGTAGTACTAATGGAGCTGTAGTTGGATAGGTGTAATGTAAGTTATCTGGATAGGCAGGTGGTATATACTGACTGCACCTCTGCAGAGGGGTAAGACACTCTCCTACTGAGGTCACCTATTTGCTGAGGGTGGTGACTCATAACGCTTGAGGTCTTCAGGCATTAGGTAGAATACTTTTTAATTCCAACACACTACTTTAGCCCTTACTTGGGCTAGATGGGAGGTAAGAGAGGCCCGATCTGATCAATTAGTCATGTCAAACCTGAACAACAATCCACCTACCAAAAACACAAATAAACAAAAACATATACACACACCAACACACTTTTTGACCCTTACTTTGGTTAGACTAGGAAATGAAAAGAGAATGAAACAACTTTTAGAAGGAGCCGGAAACCCAATCCTAAACAGGAAATGAGAGATAAACCTTTATGGTGTTACTTGTTCTCCCACGAGGACGAGATGTAACCCAAGGTCTTTTTAAAGTGGGGACCTGAGCGCATACACCTGGGCAAGGGACAAAAATTGCTCTCAGCCCCTGCAACCAGTTGCGCTGGCCTTAGTGTGAGCACCGATCCTTCCCACTGGTGCAGTGGGAGGGCGCGGCCTTGGGTAGCTGTTCCCCAGGGCTGGGCACCTCTCAGTATAATTTTCTCAGTTGCTCCTCTGTCCTTTGACAGTGAAACCCCAGAGCGCACTCTACCCAAAGACAGAGATGCAACTGAGAGATGATAAGCCTGCATTATAAATCCCTCCAAGATAAACCTCTACACTTGTACTGCCCTGTTGGCTGGGGTTATAGAATATGCCAACTGTACCCAATGAGGCCACCTGTTTGCTGTGGGTGATGACTTGTGATGTTTGAGGACTTCAGGTGTTAGGTAGAATACTCCTGAATTCCATCACACTACTTTGGCCCTTACTTGGGCTAGACAGGCAGTCAGAGAGGCTTGATCTGATCAATCAGGTAAGTCATGTCAAGCACTAGCACCAATCCACCCACCAAAAACACAACTACACAAAAAAACCTAAATCAAAAACTAATCAAATTGGTAGTAGAAGTCAGTGAGAAATGTCAACCAGGT